GACAGCCTTGTACTTAATATTGTCAATGTCAGTGTCAAGAGCACAAGACGACAAGAGTCAGAGACTCATTGAGTGCCTCAGATGCACCTCTCTTTTGCAATATTTTCACAAGAGACATTTTTTTTGCACGCAAAAGCTCGTCTTTCATTTCACAGAGATGCTCTGCAGCCCCCAGAGCAAATAAGCGCAGGGGCGGTGCGCGGGGGTGCATTTGCGAAATGAATTCAATTTCTGCCACTATCAAGCAACTTTCATCTCCTTCATATCCATGCTGAAATAATAAACATTGCCAACTATTAGAGTCGATGAACGCGTGATAAGAGAGAATGTCTTGAGGACTCTTATATAAATAGAGAAATAACTGTGTATTTTTGTAGCATTTCTACTTTTATCAGTAGCAGCAATGCACGTATTTGTACAGCGTCGAATATTCCGCGCGATTCGCAAATTGCCCACAAGCACAAAATTCGAGTGAAGCTAATAAATATATTGCTTGCAACTTTTGCATCTGCTAAATGGAGGCGCTTTCTGAGCACTTTTAACCTTTTACTAGACACTATGTTTTATTGGGGATCATGAAATATGAACTAAACTTGCGAATCTGCTTCAAAACACTCAAGTTCACACTCATAAACGAGCACTTATTTGAGAAACTGATGGTGTATTGCTCAAACAGAGGAATTCCTTGGAAATGTGAGTTTATAAAATTAACCACGGTAAATAGCTAGTAATCCTTCCTTACAAATAAATACTCCCTCGCGAGAAAAAAGCTGATTTATATCCACCAGGAAGATAAAGACAGAAGCTGCGATAACAATTTTTGCACTGACCTGTGTATCAAGAGCTTTTTTTCGCCTCGCATCCCAAACGCTCTTCTCTCATCTCTTTCCCATGCGTTTCACCACAAAAGCTACACTTGGATACAATATATGAAGTCATCAGATGATTTAGTATTTGCAAATTTCTGTATCCACAATCTCTGGACGAGTGTGTGCGAAATTGCGTTTACGTAACCTCGCACAGAAGAGTCGCTGTGACTCCAATAATTTCGCATGCGGGAGCCAAAGATTGGCATACAAGAGAGCGCGAATAAAATGTGTGCGCGCGGAATGAGCTTTTCGGACGCGTCTACAATATTAAAACTAATGAGAAAATCACAAGAGGAGTGTTCTCCCATAGCAACTTCTCATATGGCCACTATCGCGAATTTAGGGATCGCACCTGCCCCCGAGACTCACATTCACGCCGAGTGCAAGGCGATAAGAAGCGTGCGCGAGTGTGCAAATTATGAAATAATCATTATACCCGACTAAGATAATGAAAAATGAGTCTCATATCGCGACAGAATTTTCTCTCGCTCAACTAATTCCTCAACTGGGGTATTTTTTATCACCCAATTAAGAATTTAGGAGTCAATGATATTGTAAATAAAATCACCTTGACTTCGTACGCGAAATCGCGGTATTAGGAAACTAGTTTTTCAATTATTCTCACACAATTAGTGATGATTTATTCCACAATGGAAATTTATATATCATAATCTATAATATTAAATTGGGTGTTCAAATTACCCGGACAGCTAAATTATACACACACGCTGAGGAATCAAAATGGCAAGTCAAATTTAGGATTTTCCTTTGCCGTTGGAAACCTCTTAAGTAATCCTCAAGATGAACGTGTTTTCGCGAAATCTATTCAAGTTTCGTGTCATCCATTTACATTTGAATGGCACTCTTAAATCTTAGCTAGCATGTTTTAAATTGTATATTGTGCCGTTAAATCAATCTATAACTTTTTATTAGACAGAGCTATCGAATTGAGTTAACAGTGTGAATTTACCCAAGAAAAAAAGATTAAAAATTGATTAGCTAGATTCTAAAGTATTTAAAAAAGGATTATTTATCAATTAAGAAGAGTTTTTTTTATGCGTTTCTAAATTTGTCAAATAATTTAAAACTGATTGAAAAGTTAAGAAAATAAATTAAATTTAGTGAATTGAATTCAGATATTGACATTTTGCGTCCTTTCTTGCAAATTTGCTTTCAAATTAAGAGACTATCTGGCCAAATATACTCTTTGTATTTACTCCCCAATAATAATCTTTGATGGCAACCAAATAATTTTTCTCCAATAAAACATCCCGATGGAATGGCTGATAGCCAGAGTCGTAAATGTCAGTTGGAGTGAATGCAAAATCCAATGATTGCCCATAAAAGAAGCGAGATTGAATTTTATTGTGCAGAACCACAAACACAACAATTGGCGGGATTTCAAGTGCGAGCCCTAATTGCAGTGCGTGCACTCTCGCGGACTGGTCTTGTGATTTTTCCGGGGAACGCGCGGAAGAGAAGGCAAAGATCACGATTAGAATATGATTATGTCTATTTCTAGACTTTATCTTCGCACAATGGACAGTTGGTCTCTTGTTTGCTTCTTTACTCTGTGCGAAAAAATCCTTCCCAATTGATTGACCACTTGGTATTTCAGCGTTTTCGGAGATTAAAACAGGTTAGACTGAAATTCTAGCCAGACCATCGCCTACTCTCTGAGAGTCAGAAGGAAGATAGAGGGTGAAAAATGGGGGAAAAAAGGTCAGGCTGGAGATATATTGAAAGTGAGACAATAAAATCATTCTGTGTGCGGTATAGTGAGGGACACGAAAAAAAGAGTATAGTGGAAAACAGAGTTTGCGAACTCACTTTTTTCGCGAGCGCGCGAGATACCCAGTGTGTTTGAGAAAAAGTGTTCTCGTCATCGGCCGAAGGACAGAGTGTGACAGAGGGTGTGAGCGAGCGGGACGGCGGCATGACAGATACAGCTACAAATGTGCGAATTTGTGTGGATGGCGCAAAAAATTTGCACGGCCGACTGAGTGGCTGGGCGAAAAAGTGAGCGTACATATTTGAGTGTTTAGGAACACTGGGATGCCTTCCAGTTCGCGCACCACCACATTTGTCAAAGTCATTCTTTCGCGATTTCGCGAACCTCGCGAATTCGCGAATTGTGTGCGATCGCGCCTCTGTCGGCCGGTGTGCGTGCGCGAGTGCGTTCGCCAACCTTACGCACTTCGCCGCCACACAGACACACCGCGCCACAATATTCGCATGGACACTCTTCTTTGCCATATTTTTCGCAAACACTCTCACTCTCCTTTTTATCGCGAAAAAAAGCCGCGATCCGCTACGCAAGAGAAAGAGAATCTATTTTAGTCTCTACGCACATTTTAGTAGGTTGATGGGTTTGTACGATGAAGTGAAAATAAAAATGTGAACAGCGCGAAGAGAGGAGCAAAAAATTCGCGCACGCCGCTCGAAATTGTGTCAAGGTCAGATAATTTGCGAATTTGAGCAATTCGCGCAATTTTTACCAATATATTCATGCGTTGTGGACATTTTGGCAGCGATTTCGCGACCTCTTCTGCCACAATATCGCATTGCGAAGACCATCCCTGTGGCCCAATTAATTCCGAGCAGCATCTCCGGCCGAAGATGCCTCTCCACATCAATTGGTACATAACACATTCGTATGCGATTTAGGAGCAGCAGCAGCAGCAGCGCTTTATTATGTCATCACGATGCGTAGCTATTTATAGAACGGTGTCCATGTGCACAATGTGGCAGAAATAGACAGCTCAGGGGAGCCTCTGGAGCCCGGCAAAGGACACCTCAGCGGAATTATCGTGCGACACACCCCCGGAACTCCTCACGCCTAATCAGACGGACAAACAGACGAACGGGCGGCAACTTTTAATGACCCACGGGCCCCGCCATTGGTCAAAATATCGACAAATTGAAGTGTATTTGCTCATGATTTTGGTGGAAGAGGTGAATTATATAAAATTTTATCAATCAACTCGAAATGCACCCACTTTATCAGCTCAGCAGAGCCATCGGAGCGTTAGCTAATATAATGGTGGCGATTGTGATAACGCAGACACATCGTCACTATCAATTTTCAAGATCACACTTTTAATGCACAACGTGCCCCAATGACAGGGAATTTTCACTCGCCAATTGCCTGAGAAGTGACTGGAAAAAAGAACATATGAGAGATTCCATGACAATTTTATCGCACTCTTCCAGTTGGTGTGAATTCTAGGCATTATGGAAAAAGAGTTTAATTAATTTTTCGTGCAAAAATTCATGAGAGCGTCACTCTTTTCACTCCCATTATCTCACTTTTCCACTAGAGATTTTATGTGAATGTGAGACAACAATTGATAGTGCAATTCAAATGCAAGAGCGGGTCGGCGGCAATCATTCGAGGCGCGATTTTGTGGACAAAAAAAAAAGAGAATCATCGATTGCGTATTCATTTAGCAAATTAAAAAAAAAATGCCTCCAATATAGGGGACAAATTGTTTATCTTTGAAATGCGATATTCTCATGGGATTTTGATATCGCAACACAAATTCGATACTTTGTCTATTGAATTTCGGATGTGTACAAAAAACTTTATGGGGAGAGAATTAGAGGAAACTTTCAAGGACTCTGGCGGTTCTATCTTGAGGACCCGCGGATCTTTTCCGCCGTCTGTCTCTGTCTTTGTCTCATCAGTGGACTCCATTGGCCGATTACGTAACTATCGGCTAGAATAGTGTGTGCGAGAGACTGCCTATAGTTTGGTTTATACATTAAAAACTAAATATGTGGCATTTATTTCGCGTTCTATCGTTTTGTACATAATGTGCAAAATGTACAGGACTGTTGTTCTTTTTTCTCACCCTATTAATTCAGCCGCTCACACACACTATATTGGTCATCTCCATTGGACTATTGGGCCGTTGTCAAGCACCACACAGCGATATTGATGATCACACATAACAGTGGACAAAATAAATGGAAACTATACCCAGCAAATCAATTAATTACGAAGCTGTGAATCTCCAAGTAGAACGAGAAAAATCCGTGGCACAGTGGAAATTGCCTTTTTCCCATTTACACAGGGGAAAATTGATTTCTTTTTTTGCTCTAGCATGTTTAGAAAAATATTGTACTCACCTTAATATAAAAATCTCGCCAGTCGGGCGTTCCCCGTCCAGCTATCCATATAAGACAAATTTCACTGTCGCTCACAGTGAAATGGTGGAGATTTCTTCCTTTCGTCCACAGATTTTCGTCCGGAGAATGGGATTGATGGGGATGATTAGCAGTGTCCTCCCACTATGACGTGTCCTCTCAAATGTTTTTGTCCGTTTTTTTTTACCACTGGGTACACTGAATTTAGTCTGTCTCTCGCGCGCAGATTTATCGCCTCACAGCAAATAAATAAAAGAATTTTCACTTCACCTAGTTGGAAAGGGGATGAAAAAATAGGTTAGGATGTCTGTGGACTTTCCGTTGAATTTTCTTTTGTCGTGTCTTGTATCAATTGCAATGGATGCTCGCGTTGTGGGGTGTTTGTTGAAGAAATTTTTGAAATTATCTGTGAATTTGACGTCCCTATCGCCGGTTGCCAAGCTAGGAATGTCTATACAGTGCGAAGGCATTTTTTCGACAATTTCTCATGTGCATTCTCAAACCGTACAGCAAATATTGATGATATGGAAATCTCTCTCCTTGCAAGTGCATCTTTCTTGTCTTATTTTAATGGATTTTCTCTCTCTTTATACCTAAACTCCGTGCTTACGCCTGTACAGGGTGGTTTTTCTCGTTTTTCATGGCTCGGGGAAAAGTCAAGTGAATGGCCCTCATTCTCTCTCTCTCGCCTCATTCTTTCGCCCTCAGCCCATCAGTCTGGAGGCGCCGACAATTTAAGGTGCGTTAACCCCATTTTGGGGGTGGCAGACTACAAACACACTCGCGCCGCACACACTCACACACACACACATCCGGGGCAAAGGACGAGGCAAGTGCTTCGAACTCCTCAGGAGCTTTTTCGAGGAAGGCCGGAGAGAGCTTTTGTCGACGCCACGGAAATGCGCCCTGGGGTGGGTTTCGGGTGCGTGACGCAGTCTGTCTGGCGTGGGTGGAAATGGGCGACGGAGGGTGGTTTGGGGCGAGACGACTGGGGTGTTTTTGTGTGCGTTGTCTGGGTCGGAAAAACCGAAGAGGGCCGCCCGGAAAATCTCACATCATCCGTGTGCGTGGCGGCCCACAGCGGGCGGCGCACTGGGGGGTGGGTTTGTTTGGGTGCGTGTCTGACATTCACCCCGAAAAAAGGGGCGCCCCCACCCGCAATGGGTAATTTCTTGAGGCTGGGGAACGTCTGGCGATTTTTCTATGGGACCCAATCGATTTCAACTCACTGTTCTCCACCTCCGCCGACGGCAAACTGTCTCTCTCTCTTCGGCCGTCTTGCCAGAGTCTCGGGACACTCTCACTGGATGCACTTTTCCCGGGGCTTCCACGCAGGGAAAGCACTGCCACATCGTGCGAAAGACAAAAGAAGTGTCGTGAGAAAGACACGAGAATTAATTTAATTTGCGACTGACGCACAAACTGTCTCTATGGGCATTTTTTCAGCACTTGCAATTATTCAATTGAGCCTAATCAAATTTTTTCACGCTTTTCAGAGCGACTAGAAAGGATGATGAGAAGTCCAGATACGCATAAGAAACCCACCACCACATAATCTCTAGTCGAAGGTAAGAACATTTAATGCATTTCACATTAAACCAGCTTCAATGTCACTAATTTATAGACATTTTGGCAATAAAGGCAATTTTACGACTCTGACAAAAGAAGAATCTCTGAAGCACCCCAAGAATATGATAGTCACTATTTCTTCACTCAATTTTTCTGCACTCCCGTCGCTACACTTTGAAAATTTCGCGCGAGTGTCCTTTTGCCGACTGGATATTTATGGGGACTTTTGGAGTGTCTGTCGAACCATTATTTTCACCTCTTTTCAATTTGCCTGGGTTTTGCTCACATTTGTCGGGGTTGGAAAAATCGGGTTGTCCCTCGATGTCCTTGGGAACAGATGATTTTTCCACACTTTTCCACTTTTCAGCCTCACCGCGATTGCACCTCAATTTGTCATGTTTTTTTCAGCGGCTCGCGCGAAACAGTGTTGAAAACACAATTTTTGCGTTACTTTTAGTCGCGATTTTCTTTTCTTCCAAGTCTACACCATGATTTTCCGCCTGCTTTTCCGCAACTGTGTCCTCGCTGTCTCGGATATTTTAGATTGCAATTTTTAATCGGTGTTGTTCTTTTTATTAAAGGAAATGTTTAACTGTCGGTTTTAGTGGTTGTCGGGTTAAAAACTGTCGTATTAGAAGTTGTGGGGGTGGTTAAGAATTTTCTGTGTTGCTCGAATTTCAATGTGAAAATCTATAATTGTGAGGTTTTTGCTTTTTTCTTAAAAAGGTATCAGCAGCAGAGTTGTGGAACTGAACGCTGCACTTACGATGCGGCCGAGCAGCGACTTAAATCGAACTGACGTCCAATGGAGGATTTAGACGCAGCAACCACTGCGTTTCCTCCAAAGCCAGGCGAAATTCACATACAATATTCACGGCGGCAACAACAACGTCGCAACTCAACACACAGAGCCGAAGCGGTTGAAGTCGGTGTATCCAGAGAGATGCAACGCTGCTCCTTCTCTCTCTCCCCGTTTTTTCCACATGCCAGTTTTTCCCGTCTGGCAAAGGCACTGGAACGCCAGCGGACGCACACAGTCGCAAAATGATCGAACCCTCACGCAGTGCGAGCGAGATGGCGCCAACGCCGATGGCGTGCAGCGGAGCGAGAAGGACATGCGAAAGGGGAGAGAATTCACGGTGTAGAAGGTTCTATGGCGAGCGAGACGGCGCATGAGAGCGAGTGAGTAGGAGCGACCCCCCAGATCACCCAACAATCGCAATAGTGGAGAATAATGTGTGAGAGAGCAATTGTGTGGGATCTTGTGAGCAAATATGCGACGACCAAGGTTGATGGAGAGGTTCAGGAGCAAAAATGGCCTCTTTGTCCGCATTTTCCCTTGCACGTGCAGACTTTCTAGCTGTGACAGTGGCTAGCCTGGATCAGTTTGATTGCCAAAATCTAGACTTTTCCCTCAGAATCGACACGAACTTCTGCGACGACCCGCACACAATTGACACATGCACCGACGTCACGAGAGAGGGATCCTATCGCCTCCCTCTCTCGCACACACTCGCGCCGAGGATTCTCCTCTCAGTGTGCTGTCCGAATCCCCTCTCCGGCCGAGAGAGTGCAGCGGGAGAGGCGCTGCGTTCTCCGGCGACATAACCTAAATGGGACTCTTTTTCCCACTCCTCTCCTGCATCGGAGTTGGTAGTGGTGCGAGGAGGAGAAGCCGAGAGAGCGAGAGAGCACGAGGCCGAGTGTGTGCGAAAATGCACACAACGCAATTTTCTAACATTTCATGTGTATGATTTCCACGGAGCGCCAAAGAGAGCCCCTCACCTGTGTGCCACGAGAGTGAGCGAAATGGCGAGACCCGTGAGCTTTTTCATAGCTCAATGGGAAAATTTACTGGTGCAATTTCTCACATTACACCTCAGACTGTGGGCCCCCGAGGAGCCGGGGAGGCGCGCGCGTCCCGCGCCATCGAAAAACAGATGAAAAGCACACACACACGCGCGCGGATGTAATCGCGGGGGGGAGGGAGAGGAGCAGAAAAATGGCACTACGAAGGGACCCCCGAAGGCGCACAAGGAAAATCACCCACATTTTTCACATTCACCACCCGGACGCCGCCCAACCCCCCAAGACGTGACTCCGATGTGAAAATGACAGAGTGGCGCGCGCTGAAGGAGCTTCGGCGAGAAAAAATTTCGCAAATGCCACACTAATGACAATTTTTCGCACACAAGCGCGGGGCACAACACGCGAAAAAGTGACGGGGAGAAGGTTGGAGACTTGACATGGCTGCTGAAGATTAGAAAAAAAGGCACTCTAATGCCAAGTGCATTGAATGGCTTAAAGCAATCTACGCTGGCCATTGAGACTTCAAGGATGCCCCAAAGAAGAATCTGGCAGTGGCAGGTAGATTAGAAAATGTCAGGACTATGGCAAGTTCCTCTGACTGACAAGGAAACCAACAACAAAATGAGTAAGAACTAAAAGCAAAAACAGCGTAAAAATACTGGAAAATGCTGTATTGAATATATTTTGATGTAGGATACAATAAAACATAAGCGAAAGATAAAATTCTGCTTGAAAAAACACAGATGTTCTTTTCTTGAGCCCAGTTTTAACTGGACTTGAGAAGTTTTATATGTTGAAGGGTAAGAAAAGAAATATTTAATACAATTATTCTCAAAGTCCGAATGATTGAAGATTACGAATGAATTGAGGGGGGATAAAAGATAAGGGTAAGAAAATGGTTTTATTAAATCAAAATTATGGTCAATTAGCGTCATAGCCGATAATTTTCCGATGGACATATATTACTCAATATTACTTGAAGCAAATTAACATGTTTTATGCATCTAAATGGTAGACTATTCTCGTTTAATAGTACATTGCATTCGCAATAAATTCCGAATTATTCATGCATATTTAAAATGTTCCTACTGTAATGATTCGCAAAGATTTACTACAAATTATGTGAAATTCTTCATATGAGCTTGACAACTTACCTGCAGGGATTTCACATATTTATAATCTATAGCTTCACACTTCCACTTGCCACTAATCTTAACAGTGTACCGAGCTTTTGCGTGTATTCGCGATTACCAAAATTGCACATAGTGTTTGTATTATATAAAATACTCCACTATATCATGAGCTGAGAAGCATATATGAACGAGTTGGAGACGCGAAAAAAATTCGCAAATTACACTGAAACGTGGGACGAAGACGGGAGACGTGACGCTATCTCGCTCATCTTGCCTAACATTTGAGAATTTGCAAACCCGACAAAGACGACGACCACGAACATGAGCAAACAATTGCGTGAAGCTCTGTGAGTTTTAATTTTGATGGCTCAGCCTGGAACGATTCCCATTCCAATGGTGGATGAATTCGAGGGTGATTCGCCCGAGATGCCTTTGTCTTCTCCGGGGAGAATTTCTTGCAGTGGGTGGTCGAATGGGGTGGATTCTCGGGAGGAAGCTTTTCGAAGTTGCTTTCAGCTGCGAATTGAGGTCAGTCGTTGGGCAATTTGGGCAGAAAGGGGCAGGAAAAGTGGCCGATTAGAGTAATGTCTCTCTGTGAAAATTTGATATAAATCCGCGCACACTTTGTCGAAGAGGGCATGCAAAAAAATATCGAGACCAACACACAAGTGGCCCAGCAGAAGTTTCTCCTTTTCTATTTGGCCATTTTCTATTCAGAGACGTCTCAGTGTGAATGTGAATATTTTTTGCAAATCGCTCCGAGGTGATGTGTGCAAAAATTTTCGCGAATTTGTGAGTGTGTTTATATTTCATGATATGATCATTTGGGAGAATGAGTGAGAGTGAGTCTAATTTCATTTTCAATACAACACTCTTGGTTAGTTTTGTCTCTTATTTTGGGCGGTTGTGGTGCTCTATAATCGACAATTTCGCACACTTTTTGCCTAGCTTCTCACTCAATCATTCGCAGTTTTTTCCCCGCCACTTCATCGTCCTTGAGGCTCTCGCGCCGCTTGCGATGGTGTTTTGTTCCTAAACACAAGGACCCTCAGTAGTGCTCTACAGATCCATTGAAAGTGTGTTTTTTTTCATCCAAGATTCGCTGGGACTTGAGAGTGTATTCCAATCTTGCCTCCAATGAAGTTCAGTGCGTGAATTGGTGTGCAGATGTGCGTCAGTGTGGTGGTCAATATGTGCCAAAAATTCGCGAATTCGCGCTGACACAAATTCACATTGATAAATTGATAGTACGCCCAATAAATATGACTCTTTGTCTTCCTCTCTTCTTCCAGGTGAAACACCTCGTCCGCATCGTTGCTGTCTTTCTCCTCTGCATATCTCAGTCAAAATTGGAGCGGATCTGCAGTGCGACAGAGATGATTTTTTCCCACATTTCCAGAAGATGAGCAGGTCCTGTCCAAGAGTGCTCCAACAGAGTGCTCGTCGGCAGGAAGGTAATTCATGCAGGGAGGACGAAAGGTGTGTACAGCGAGAAAGAACTTATTAAAAATTAAACTCAGGAAGGTTGAACTTTACTACTTCCTTTTGTTCAAGAAACCATTTTATGAGAATTCACAGTGCCGAGGAAAAAAAGTTTCTCAGAGATCCTGCTATTGAATTTTAATGAACAGGAAGAATGTATTTAAATCATTAACGAACTGTGTAGATTTTAAATAGGTTTAAGTGAGAATAGTTTCCTCACAT